CCCCCTGCTCAGGCAGGAAACCCTATACCATTTCGGACAATTATGATGATGATGATGATGATGACGAGTCAGTGGCCGAGCGTCTGAATTTTGATCCCCTGACCATGGGGGGGACACTGCAACCATCGGCAGGGGGTTGGACAAGATGACCTCCAAGGTCCCTTCCAACATCATCATCATCATCATCATCATCATCATCATTATTATTATTATTATTATAAATAGGAGCCAGTGGCCGAGCGTCTGAATTTTGATCCCCTGACCAGTGGGGGGGGATGCTGCGACGGTCATTAAATGTGAAAAAACGGTCCTAAGGCACATTTTTCAGTGCCGTTGCAACTCTGAACGGTCGCTAAACGAAGCGTTGTAAGTCGGGGACCGCCTGTAGACCCTTCCTAGTACTGGCCAAGGTTGCTGGGCTTCAGAGCATCACAGCTACTCCTATTTAAATGTTATCTTCCCAAGGAAGATGGTCACAGAGCTGGGGGTCGTTTCCCCCCCCCATGTCCCTGGAAAAACGAAAGCAAAATCAAGGAATTCCCCCCTACTCACTTTTTCCCCACTCCCCTCCTGAAGGTGAGACGGACCCGATCCTTACCCAGTGGTTGGTGCAGGGCCCCTCGGCCTCGGCCAGGATCTTGCCATCTTCGGAGAGCAGCACCACCTTGGAGTGGGTCCCCCCCCTGCAGAGGAAGACAGAGGCCACTTGAGGGGCTGTAGGGAGGGATTCTGCTTCCCAGCCTGGTGGGGGTCAGTCCAGGAGGCCCGTGTGAAAATCCCAGGAGGGAATTAAAAAAGAAAACAGCAACAAGAGGAGAAAATCTCTGTGGCTCAGGGTTGAAATGAGGGGGTCCTGGGTGCTCTCTGAGCTGCCTTGATTGTCTGCAGATGTTTCATGACCCAACTAGGTAACAGCATCAGTGCTTGAAGGGGATGGGGAGGAGGAGGAGGATGGGGAGGATGGGGAGGAGGAGGAGGAGGAGGAGGAGGGGGAAGACTATGGGGTCCTTGGTGCTCTCTGAGCTGGGTTGTTTTCTTGCTGATGTTTTATTACCCAACTAGGGAATATCATCAGTACTAGAAGGGAGTGGGGTTTGTGGTGGAGGAGGAGGAGGAGGAGGAGGAGGAGGAGGAAGGAGAAGGAGGAGGAGAAGGAGAAGGAGGAGGAGAAGGAGAAGGAGGAGGAGGAGGAGGAGGAGGAGGAGGAGAAGGAGGAGGAGAAGAAGAAGAAGAAGAAGAAGAAGAAGAAGAAGAAGAAGAAGAAGAAGAAGAAGAAGAAGAAGAAGAAGAAGAAGAAGAAGAAGAAGAAGAAGAAGAAGAAGAAGAAGGAGGAGATGACGACTATGGGGTCCTTGGTGCTCTCTGAGCTGGGTGGTTTTCTTGCAGATGTTTCATTACCCAACTAGGTAACATCATCAGTGCTAGAATGGAGGGGGGGGAAGGAGGAGGAGGAAGAGGAGGACTATGGAGTCCCTGGTACTCTCTGAGCTGGGTGGTTTCCTCGCAGGCGTTTCATGACCCAACTAGCTAACGTCATCAGTGCTAGGAGGCGGGGGTGTGTGGGCGGGGGTGTGTGTGTCTGCTCTCTGTTTCTATACAAGGGGCTTGCCTCGTCAATATTGGTGGGCGTGTCCTTGGTGCAAATGGGTTGTTATTTATTGTTGCTTTGAAATGCTTTGCATGCAAAAATCCCTTCCTTCCTTCCTTCCTTCCTTCCTCCTTGTATTTCAGCCCTGCCCAGCCACATGGAACCTCAGCAGTTTTGCAATCTGGGAAACGTTCCTCTTTCCACCCAGGCCTATTGCAACAAGGCTATTTTTTTTTGGGGGGGGGGGGCAGGGAGAAACATCTGTGAATCATAAAATAATGGGTATTTTGAAAGGCAAGAGGGATCCGAGGCCCCTTCGACAGGTTTCTCTCTCCGGTTCCTGGGGAAGTCGAGGCAGGTAGAAGCCCCGATGACGTCACCCAGCCTCGCAAATCACAGGGATTCCCCGGAGGGGGGGGGGCGGTTGTGGGCATCCTCCAGCCAGACGCCCGCGGGCGCCACGTTGGGGAAGGTCGCTTGTTGCAGGGAAGCCTTCGACGGCCCCAGCCCCCCCCCCGAACCCCGATCTCCCCCTCTTCTCTCAATGCACACGTGCAACGCAAGTCGACGCGCGTTCGCACACGATGTCGGCATCAAGAAAGCCGGGCGGAGATGGGGGTGGGGCTGCGAAGTTGCGACCCCCAAAAGGCCGCGGGGGTCCCTCCGAGCCCCCACCCCCCCCACTTTGGGAAGGGCCCCCGGAGCCCTCCAAAGAGGAGCCCCCAGAGCAGAGTCTCCCCCCCCACATT